TAAAAATTCATACTCATAATATGACTGTGATAAAAGTCTCACTCAGTCTGACCCCTAATGCACTCATCCAAACCTGCCCCCACAGCATTGCCTGTCACTTATCCAGATGAGAAATGGTGATGGTGTGAGAATTAACTAGCCTTAGTTTGATATGAAAATTAAACTACGAAATTATCATATAATATAGCAACCTCTATAACAAAACTCAAAATAGTTGTCCAACTTTCTGTCTGTGTGTCATTAAACAACACAACTGGTTCAGGTGGGTTTCTACCCCAGCAGGGTCAAGGGCCATCCTTTTCTACACTGCTGAAGCAGACCCAGGGTGTCAGTCATCTTAACAACCATAGAAGAAACCTGCAGCTTGTTTAGCTACAGCTTGGTCGAGCCCTTATGGTTCCAAAGAAATCTAATCCATTAATGTTTATGTTACTGAACACAGGTTGCCTAAACCCATTAAACTATTGTTCAGGCAAAAATCCCCCTCATCGATGTTAGCTGCCAAAGCAGTTGTCTTAGTTATTATCCTGTTGCTATGAATGGCCATCATGACTAAGGCAACACGTAGAAAGCATTTAAGTAGGGACTTGCTTACAGTTTCTTAGAATCCATTCATTACTGTCATAGCAAGAAGCATGGCAGCATACAAGCAGGTGTGACCCTGGAGCTGAGAGCTTTATGTACAAGCAGCAGTGAAGAGAGAGAGAGATGAGAGTGAGGGGGGAGAGAGGGAGAGAGAGAGAGAACGAGAAAGAGAGAGATGCTGTGACTGCTGTAGACTCTTTGAAACCCCCAAAGTCCATCCCTGATGACTCACTTCCTCCAACAGGACCACACCTCCTAATCCTTCTAATCCTTTCAAGTAATCCCACTTCCTGGTGTCTAAGCATTCAAACATATAAACCTATGGGGCCATTCTTAATCACACTACCACACAGGCCAAACAGATACCCAAAGTCAGAACCCAGAATTCCTGTATCTGAAGGATGCACCAATAACATTTGCAGCATGAGGAAAACATGCTATATCATTTTTCTTATTCGCTTTTATCTTTAACCTAAGAAAAGTTAACTTCTAACTTGTGGTTTCCCAGTGGTAGCCTCACCAGATCCACACATCAGGTAAAATATGGCACTGAGATTCCAGCAATACCCTGGAGTATGTGGAGAGGGACATAGCAGGAGACACCGTGTGGCCAGATAACCTGTGGCAGCCATGTAACCTGAGGTTAACTGGAATTCATGCAGAGTTCAACACATTTACAAATTACATTCTAAGTTCAACAATTTCAAGTGTTATCAATGCTTCTTCCGCAAAAATCTGTGGCTTTAAGGTAAAACTGGTTACATATACATCTGTGAATTATGTATCTTGTTAAATAAGAGTGAACATGCATCATTCTCTTGGTATGTGTGTGGTATCTGTCAGGCATAATTCAAAATAAAAGCAATGCTACCTAAAAATGAAAGATAGTCCTCCACAATTTGAAGTTCTCAGTAAAACCACTTGAAGTGGGTGATGTTTAAAGCAATTAGGTTCTGATCTTAGGACACATATTTTAGTAAAGTTGGAAAGACATAAAGCCAGATGTAAAGATGGGCATCACTTGTAATTGCTTTATCTCAGTATTACACAATGGAGTTTACTGAGAGGAACTGATGAAGGCACAACTTCTCTGTTCAAACCATCCAATACCATGATTCCAGCTCAAAGCAGACCTCAGAAAATTACTCTCTCATACCGTGTCTTAGAGCTGAAGTTCTGTGGGAAGCCTGCCCATGGCTTAAAACATAAGTTCACAGATGTAGAATAAATATCCTGAGAGGGTTTCCACATCCCAATCTGTAGGATAAAACCTGTGATGAAATAACTACTAAACACAAAGGGAAATAATTTGTGTTTATGGATGAAAGTAGGTGTGATGATCAGGTGGACTTAACAATGTGGAGATTGTCCAACAGTGTCCACGTGGGCTCAACGCAATGACCCACACCAGGAAAAGTACGACAAGGAAGCAGAGTAGGAAAGACAAAAATGATAGCAACACAAGAAAAACTGTGCCCTGGTGTTGCTGACATTGAAGAGAGGTAGTGACACCAGCCAAGGAATACAGAAGGCTTATGGAAGCTGTAACAGTAAAGGAACCGATTTTTGTAAGACCTAGTCGGACTACAGCCCTGCTGATGTGTGATAGTAGCTCAATGAAGCCTATTCCAGGCTCAACAAAGAAAACAACTTTTCATTATTTATATCAGTTTGTTACACCTGCAACATAAAACAAGTATAAGAGAGTACCTGGTTTAAGCATAAGTATATATTTGGGTAGACAGTGTGTACTTCTCAAGCAGAGAGACCAACAAGAGCTAGGCACCTACCTGTCCATTAGCAGATACCTCTCAGCCTATAATTTAGCAGGAAAACTGTTCCAACGTTGTGAAGCCACCTTTACTTTCTTTAATAAAAAAAAAAAGTCCAATGCATTTATCAATTATTTTAGACCATAAAACAGCATGAAAATAGTTAAGAATGGGGTATGGAAAAGTTACCCAATGGTTAAGAGAACTTACTGCTTTGCAAAGGACCCAGCTTCAGTTCCCAATATCTACATGGTAGCTCATAACCATCTATACCTCCAGTTACAGGGGACTCAGTCAGTGCCCTTTTCGAGCTCATACAGGGATCTGCACACATATGGTACACATGTACACATACACTCATGTAGACACACACATATATGCATGAATAAAAGATAAATCTTAAAAAGACAAATTCCTAACAATGTAAATTCCTAAATAGGCAAAGAAACTTCATATACTTTACACAACTATGGCTGATAAAAACTCAAAGTGTATCAGATGAAGTAAAGCTGTTACAAGAGAAGGTGTTTTATGAATTTGCATTTTCTAGGAACAAAGCCTCTATTTCCAATGACATGGCGAGGCAAGTACTGTCAGTTACTACTAAGGTAGAATAAGAGATTTTATTGTTTTTTCACTGACTCATAATAATTATACATTTTTATTGTATTGACTATTCCAAAACACCAGGAGGCATGATTTTGAATGAAATGAAGCAAACACGCTAAAAACCAGGTCAACAGTTGTAAAAATAACAACAACGAAAAGTGTTGCTTTACTGTTATATTCTACCTTAGGAATCAAAATATAGAAGTAGGAATAAATACATAGAAAACATTAATATTCCAATATGAATTATAATGAAATGACAATGATAGAATAGTGTACATTGTAATATTCAAATGGTGCGTATTTGTGTAGGCATGAGTGACTCAGTCTTGGCATGGTCATGGAACTGTGACTGGGACTTGGAGACTGTGCAAGAGCATGAGGGGACTCTCCACCCTGTTGTAGTAGTGATCATCGGTCACTCCATTTTTCTGTATGGAGCTGATTTCCATACAGAAATACAGCACAAATCAGCTGGAGCTGGTAGAAGTCGATTAAAAAGCAGCTGTGTTCATTTTACTGCCACTTCAGGCACATCCAAAGACATTATTTTATTTCACCTCTTGGATCATATTTCAAGTTGAATTTACAATTTCTTTGGGTTCCTTTGCAGATATTAAATTATCTCAACCAGGTTCATGAAAACCCCAAGCTCCTCAACTTGAGCCCCATCTCACTACCCAGGTATTCAGTCAGAGGGGACCATAGAGCTACCTGTCTAAGTCTCAACTCCTCCTCTCTTGTTAATTCTGGAGATGAAGTATTAGTGATGGAAGACATAGGGAGTAAGGGTTGAACACGACAGGCTCACAAGTAAGCTGGCAGAGGACACTCCCTAGATATGACAGTTTCCACAGGCTGCTGTTTTCCCCATAGAGTGATCTTGTGGGTGTCTCAGAACCTCAGGCTGCTTCCCCTTTAGGATTTCTCTGTATCATCCTTGTGTCTCTGCATTACCACTTGCTGGCTGACTGCTTAATGCGCATACTCCCCTTCCAAACCCAGAGTTCCAGCATTCTTTCTTTGAGCGCCTTCCCCAGTAGGAAGCCGCACTGTAGGCACTCACAGGCCAGGCTCCCTACCTTCCCACTCAGCCTCTCAGGACTCCTGGATCTTTATCTCTCTTGTCTGTGGTAGGGTTATACACCTGTGTTAGCAATCGTTGTGGAAACATGTATATCCCATAGGTACTCTTTGCAGTAGGAAGCCTTTGACCCTGGGGCTCTCAGAATGTTTCTGTTTCAGTGTTATTTTATAATGAGGATAGGAGGAGGAAAAAAAATGCTTTGACCGCACAGAAAAGGGCAAAATGGCTGATTACAAGAGCTAAGGAGGCTGCTATTTTTAACCCTATTGAAGAACCCGAGTAATTTTAGATTAGCGGAGATTAATTGACAGTTTTGACCTCGGAGAACTGTTATATCCCTGACTGTATAGACCAGAAATCATCATTCAGGGAAATGCAGGAAAAAACAGGAGAAACTGCAAGGCTGCTCTGTGCTACGCTTGTTATTTGAGACACTTATTAAAATATACATTTTCTCTCGTTCTGCCGTATTTCACCACTAACTAATCGTCAGTAAGTTAATGTATCTTATTATGATGTAATTAACAAAAGAATTTAGTACTCAATAGAATTTACTTTCTCACAGCGTTTTAAATTATTAAGTAGATGGTTGCTGTTTATGTGCAACATGTTTCAAGTCCTTTTCTGCCTATTAAACGTTAAAACAGTTATAGGAATAATGAACACAGTACAAACGGCTCTATTAATATGAAAAAAGTAAAATATAATATATATGAAATAATTTATGATGGTGCATGTGTCCTAAATGAGAGTCTAAGTGAGGTACCCAGAAATTGTTTTTACTTCTCATTTATTTCTACTTTTTAGAAAGCTATTTAGGTTACTGAACAATGAAAAAGGGTTAAATAGCAGCTATTGTTTACACGTATAATTTTTATCCTATTACACATTCATAGAAGTTATTGATATATTGGTATAGACTCTAAAAGCATTCACTTTTCTTTCAGCTGGTTGGTTTTGTGTATGCCTGTTATGTGATCAGCCTTTCCATGGAAGAGGAAGATACCTGTAAGTACTGTAATCCCTCCCTGGGGTTCCCTCTGGGTAAGATGCTTATCCCTAAAAGCCATCCCAAGGCTAGGAAATCTTCCATATTTCAAATCTAAAATGATTGCACTTGGCAGAGTGATGTTAAAACAGAGGCAACAGAGTCAGCCTCACACAATCTAGGAGCAGTAAACAGGGACCCCCACACACACACTCTGAGCTGCTCAGGAGCATGAGGGAGCCTCAGAAGCCTGGAGGGGACAGTCAGTCACATCAGAGTGCGGCCCCCCATAGAGCTAAGCAATGCTTTTCTAGTCATTACCACTTGGGAGTGTGCTACTGGTCAAGTTTTGAAATTTGACCAACAACGACAGTAATATAATGCCTTGTAAGATTCACATGTATGTGAATCATATAAATTTGTGAAACAACAAAATCACAGCCGTTCATGCGAAATTAAAAAAAAATGAAAAGTTACTTAAAGTGACTCACAGAATGGCTCAGAAACTAAGCCATGGTTTAGCATCAAATACAAGGGGTATCATGACTCGAGGTTCTGTTTTAGAGGCGCAGGTCAATAAAAGCCATTTATTGAGCACCTGCAAATGTAGAGAGCGCTTTCCACACGGCTATCAGGAGTGCTCATGAAAGACAATAGCAAATGTTAACCAGTTTTCAAGGTTGGATCACTGTAGAAAATCACATCTACCCATGTCCACTGTTATCCAAATTGCTTAAAATGGGGCATTTAACAAAATGAGGATGCACTGCTCACTTTTATAGTGGCCCCTCAAGATCCAATTCCAAGGTGAATTTGTTGGTCCCACCAACAAATGCAGGAGTAATGCCTGAACCAAAATCCATGACAGTGTGATCTCCTTTCCGCTAACTCAACAAATTACTAGCCTTTGAGGTTAAAGGTGTCAGGTGGTGAAAGCAGGCAAACACTAGCAGCATGGTTTAGCTCACCTGGGGGATATTTTGCTTTTAATGTTAAATAGGAAAGAATTCCTAGCACCCTGTCACACTTGGAGGGGAACTTAGGGGATGATGGCTTCAGGAGTTCATTGGTTCTGCACATTGACAAAGCTAGGTACAGAAGATGAGCCCAGTGATTCAGGCCCATGCACCCTCCTCCACCCCCGCACACACACACAAGTCCACATAGCCAGGAACAATTGGTTGAACATGAATAACACCTGCACTGAGCTTTCAAAGAAGCTAAGATTCGGGTTAAATAAATACTTGAATTGCCATAATGAATTTCTTTTGTGGGGGAGTTTACAGTTTTTTAGTGTTTATATCGAGCTATATATTTTTCTCCATTCCCCTTTTATTCCCCCTCCCCCTTCTGCCCTCTCCCATGGTCCCCACACTCCAAATTTACTCAGGACATCTCGTCTTTTTCTACTTTGGTTTACAGTCTTTGTTGTTACATCCATAATTGTTGGCTTTGCTGCTTTGGCTCTGTACAGGATGGTAGGAGCACATTACTGAGCAAAACCTCTCAACTCAACTCTTGGTTGAGACGTAAAAGAGAAAGGAAGGGATTTTGGGGGTGTCCCATAGTCCCATCTGCTAACATGGCTGCACTAAGCCCTTCTTTTGAAAGTTTCAATTACATCCTATATTAGTTACTTTCTCTACTCCTGTGACCAAAAACCTGACAAGAAGCAGCCCACAAGAGGAATTGACTTTGGCTTTTGATTTGAGAAGATACAGTCCATCATAGTGGGGAAGACATGGGTACAGGAGTGACTCACAGCTGTGACAGAAGTGTGGCATGGCTAGTGATCAGAAAGCAGAGAGCTTGGGTAGTAAGTTGGGACCCACTTTTTTTTCTTTGTAATTATTTTTTGTTATTTTTATTGAGCTATATACTTTTCTCCACTCCTCTCCCTTCCTCCACCCTCCCATTCTGCCTTCTCCTATGATCCCCATGCTCCCAATTTACTTGGGGGATCTTGTCTTTTTCTATTTCTCATGCAGATTATATCCATGTATGTCTCTCTTAGGGTCCTCTTTGTTGTCTGAATGGTTTTCTGAGATTGTAAATTGTAGGCTGATTTTTCTTCGCTTTATGTCTAAAAGTCACTTATGAGTGAGCACATATTATGTTTGCCTTTCTGGGTCTAGGTTACCTCACTCAATATGTTTTCTAGATCCATCCATTTGCCCACAAAGTTCAAGATGTCATTATTTTTACACTTTGTAGTACTCCATTGTGTAAATGTACCCCATCTTCTTTATCAATTCTTTGGTCAAGGAGCATTTTGGTTGTTTCCAGGTTCTGCCTATGACAAACAATGCTGCTATGAACATAGCTGAGCACATGCCTTTGTACTCATGGTTGAGCATCTTTTGGATATATGCCTAAAAGTGGTTGTTTAGTCTTGAGGTAGATTATTTTCTAATTTTCTGAGAAATAACCATACTGATTTCCAAAGGGGCTGTACAAGTTTGTACTCCTTCCAGCAATGAAGGAGTGTTCCCTTTGCTCCACATCTTCTCCAGCATAAGTTGTCATCAGTGTTTACGATCTTGGCCATTATTATAGGTGTAATGTGGAATATCAATATTGTTTTCATTTGCATTTTTCTGATAGCTAAGAATGTTGAGAATTTCCTTAAGTGTCTTTCAGCCATTTTAGATTCATCTCTTGAGAATTCCTGTTTAGGTCTGTATCCACTTTTTATTGGATTTTTTTTCTTTTAATGACCAATTTCTTGATTTCTTTGTATATTTTGGAGATCAATCCTCTGTTTGATGTCGGTTTGGTGAAGATCTTTTCCCATTCTGTAGGCTACTATGTTGTCTTGTTGACCTTTCCTTTACTACAGAAGTTTCTCAGTTTTAGGAGGTCCCATTTATTAATTGTTGCTCTCAGTGTCTGTTCTGCTGAAGTTATATTTAGGAAGTGTTCTTCTGTGCCAATGCATTCAAGTATACTTCACACTTTCTTTTCTATGACGTTCAGTATGGTTGTTTTATGTTGAGGTCTTTGATCTATTTAAGACTTGAGTTTTGTGCATGGCAACAGATATGAATCTATTTTCATTCTTCTACATGTTGGTATCCAGTTATGCAGGCACCATTTGTTGAGCTGTAATGAATTTCTGATGAAGTACTTTGGACTACTCACCCACACATTACCCACAAAAACGGGGCCTTTTTTCTTTCTCCTCACTGATTTCTCTGGAGACTCTCACAAGATGCCAATAGTCTGTCCTGACTCGCTGCAGGAGAAAAGAAACTCTAGCCATTAGTCTTTTGTCTAATACAATGAATATAGAAGAGCATCTCCTCAAACCTTATGATTTTTAAGAGAAAGTAGGAAAAGCACAGTGACATTCAAAAAGTCTCACCTAGGCTGGATGGATAGAGCCTTTCAAACTTCTCTAAAACTGCCCTTAGAACAGTATTTCTCAACCTGTGGGTCGCAATCCTTTGGAGGTAAAATACCTTTTCATACAGGTTACATATCATATCTTTACATAATAATTCTTAAAATTAGTAAAATTACACTTGTGAAGTTGCAATAAAAAATAATTTTATGGCTGGGGGTCGTAGCATTGGGAAGGTTGAGAACCACTGCTCTAGAGCCAAGCTATAAAAGGACAGGGACTATATTGCTACTGACAGATACTGTAGGCCTATTGACTTTGATTTCGTTAATTAAGTGAGGCTTCTCTATGGAAATCCCTGAATCAGCTGACAAAATGCCATCATACTCAGATTGAGGCAGCTGTTCAGAATCCAGTCTATTAATGGTTCAATTCTAGTGCTTGCTATTGGAGCCATGCATAAAGTTACTCAGTGACATCCAGGTGTTATTGTTATGTTGCCATCAATTCCAATAATACTTAGAGTCAGAAATAGCCTGGGGTGTTCAAAGCAAAGTCTTTATGCCCAACATAACATGATAATCGAATGTAAGACAGGATGGCAGTGAAAAAGAAATTGCAAACCTTTTAGTCTGGAAGTTTTCAAGACAGAAATTTTACATTTTTACCGAAAGAAGGACCTAAGAAACAGGTGTAATTAAATTGTCCCAGAGTCCTCAGAAACAGAAGTGAGTAAAAATCTAATTTGCTGCCAATTCCCATGATCTCATAGAATATCGCAACTGCTGCCAACACTTTGTAGAATTTTGAGTCCAATAGAGTGATGTTTGTTGGATTTGACATTACCAACCCAAAGAGACGCATGTGCTCTCTAAATTGTTTTCAAAAATGTAAATACTAAATAAGGAAACAATTGCAAGCAGAGACTGTATTTTCATTTCCTAGCCACCCAGACCCAAATAATTACAAAGAAACTGTATTAATTATAACACTGTTTGGCCAATGGTTTAGGCATATTCCTAGCTACTTTTACATCTTAAATTAATACAGTTCTATTACTCTGTGTATTACTATGAGACTGTGGCCTACTGGTAAGGTTCTGACATCTTTCTCTTTTGGCAACTACACAGTGCCTCCCTGACTCTGCCTTCTTTCTCCCTACATCCAGTTTAGTTTTCACCACCTAGCTACATTCTGCCCTGCCATCGGCCAAAGCAGCTTCTTTATTAACCAATGATAATAAAACATATTCATAGCATATAGAAGAGAATCCCACATCATCAAACTTACTGGCAATTCCCATGATCTCATAGTATATGACAACTGCTGTCAACAATTTGTAGAATTCTGGGTGCAATAGAGTGATACTCTCTGAATGTGACATTGCCAATCCAAAGAGAAGCATGTGTTCTTTGAAGTGTTTTTCAAAAATTTAAACACTAAATAAGAAAACAGCATTAATAACTTTACAATGTATCTAAGTATTGCTCTGGAGAGCTCATTTTGGAAGGTGACTTCAAAGCTACCCTGCTGACACGGTATCTTGGCCAATACTCTATCATTTATCTTGATTCCTATTCAAACTAATGACATCTCCACATTGTTCAAAATATGGAGGTAAGCCTTCTTCTCAGACTGAAAGCTGCCAGCACCTTAAAAATTAATAGCAGCTCACTG